GTGTCTTTGGTTTTCTTCATTCTCCTTTTCTCTTGATGGGATGTCACCAACAGATGTATATTAGATGGCTGCTAGCAAGCCTTTAAGACCCCAGACACTATTTACCAAAGTATGATATAGAACATTTTCTTTTTGAACTATGTTATACCAGTTGACCTAGATATCCCGCAAGACCATGATCCCCAGCCCTCAACCCTAGCAACTCAGTCCTTCAAAGTGTTTTGATGTTTCTAGGAAGCCTCTATGACTTTGCCTTGGTCAGGTTGTACTGACTTACCCTATATTGCATGTTGTATTTACCTTCACTAAAGTTAGCACTTGTCTACTATCTAGTTAATGATTTCCCTTCCCACCCCTCACTTCCCCTGTAACCATCAAAGATTGTTTTTATCTTTGTTGAAATATTTTCTTGAGTTTTTATAATAGTGCTCTCATACAGTATTTGTCCTTTTATGATTGACTTATTTCCCTCAGCATAATGCCCTCCAGATTCATCCATGTTGTGACATGCTTCACAGATTCATCATTGTTCTTTATCTTTGCATAGTATTCCATAGTGTGTATGTACCATAATTTATTTATCCACTCATCTGTTGAGGGGCACTTAGGTTATTTCCATCTTTTGCTATTGTGAATAATGCTGCAATGAACATAGGTGTACATATGTCTATTTATGTGACAGCTCTTACTTCTCTAGAATATATTCCTAGGAGTAGGATTGCTGGATCCTATAGTATTTCTATTTCTAGCTTTTTAAGGAGGCACCATATCATTTTCCATAGTGGTTGTACCATTTTACATTTCCACCAGCAGTGCATAAGAATTCCAATCTTCCCCACAACCTCTCCAACATTTATTATTTTCTGTTTTTTGTGGTTTTTTTTTGGTTTGTTTGTTTGTTTTGATTAGTGCCAGTAATGTTGGGATGAAATGGTATATCATTGTAGTTTTGATTTGCATTCCTCTTGATGTCTAATGATCTCGAGCATTTCCTCATATGTCCGTTAGCCTTTTAAATGTCTTCTTTGGTGAAGTGTCTGTTCATATCCTTTGCCTATTTTTTAGTGGGATTATTTGTCTTTTTTTGTGAAGGTGTTGAAGTGTTTTATACATTTTGGAGATTAGATCCTTGTTGGATATGTCGTAGCCAAAAAATTTTTCCCAGTCTGTACGTTCTCTTTTTACTCTTTTGGTGAAGTCTTTTGATGAGCATAAGTGTTTAATTTTTGGGAGCTCCCAGTTCAGTTATCTAGTTTATCTTTTGGTGTTTGTGCATTGTTAGTTATGGCTTGTATTCTATTTATGCCATATATTAGGACCTGTAGTGTTGCCCCTCTTGTTTCTTCCATGATATTTATTGTTTTAGGTTTTATATTTAGTTCTTTGATCAATTTTGAGTTAGTTTTTGTGTATGGTGTGAGGTATGGGTCGTGTTTCATTTTTTTACAGGTGGACATCCAGTTTTGCTAGCACCATTTGTTAAAAAGACTGTCTTTTCCCCATTTAATGGACTTCGGTCCTTTGTCAAAGATCAGCTTATCATAGGTGAATGCATTTATGTCTGCGTTCTTAATCCTGTTCCATTGGTCTATGTATCTGTCATTGTACCAGTACCAGGCTGTTGTGACTACCAGGGCTGTATAGTAAGTTCTAAGATCTGGTAGTTTGAGGCCTCTTTTTTTGTTCTTTTTCTTCAATAATGCTTTGCTTATCCGGATACCTTTTTCCTTTCCATATAAAGTTGGTGATTAGTTTTTCCATCTCATTGAAGAATGCTGTCGGTTTGGATCGAGATTGCATTATATCTTTAGATCACTCTGGGTAGAACCGACATTTTCACATTGTTGAGTCTTTCTATCCATGAGTATGTTATATTTTTGCATTTATGTAGGTCTCTTTTGGATTCTTGCAGTAGTGTTTTGTAGTTTTCTTTGCATAGGTCTTTTTCATTTCTGGTTAGATTTATTCCTAAGTATTTTATCTTTTTAGGGGCTATTGTGAATGGTATTGTTTTCCTGATTTCCTTTTTGAAGTTCTCTTTATTGGTGTATAGTATTCCGACTGATTTTTGTATGTTGATCTTGTATCCTGCTAATCTGCTGCATCTTTCTATTAGTTCCAGTAGTTTTCTTGTGGAATCTTTGGGGCTGTCTATGTATAGTATATCATCTGAAAATAGGAATAGTTTTACTTCTTGCCGTCAAATTTGGATGCCCTTTATTTCTTTTTCTTGCCTTATTGCCCTAGATAGGACTTGAGCACAATGTAAATAGGAGTGGTGATGAAGGGCATCCTTGTCTTCCTCCTGTTCTCAGGAGAATGTTTTCAGCCTCTCTCTGTTGAGAATGATGTTGGCTGTTGGTTTTGTATAAATACCCTTTATTATGTTGAAGAATTTCCCTTCTATTCATTCCTATTTTAGTGAGAGTTTTTATCAGGAATGTGTGTGGACTTTATCAAATGCCTTTTCTGTGTCAATTGAGATGATCATGTGATTTTTTTGTTTGTTTTGTTTATGTGGTAGATTATGCTGATTGATTTTCTAATGTTAAACCATCCTTGCATACCTGATGTGATTCCCATTTGATCATGGAGTATTATTATTACTTTTTTATATGTTGCTGAGTTCTATTGGCTAGAATTTTTGCATCTATATTCATGAGAGATATTGTTCTGTAACTTCCTTTTTTTTGGTGTCTTTGCCTAGCTTTGGTTTAAGGTTTTGCTGGTTTCATAGAATGAATTTAAGAGTATTCCTTCCTTTTCTATGCTCTGAAATAGTTTGAGTTGTACTGGTGTAAGCTGTTCTCTGGATGTTTGGTAGAATTCTCCAGAGAAGTTGTCCAGGCTAGGGTTTCTTTTTGTTGAGAGTTTCTTTTTATTACTTCTTTGATCTCTTCTCTTGTCATGGTTCTGTTCAGATTTTCTATCTCACTTTGTGTTAATTTAGGTAGATAGTATGTTTCTAGAAATTTGTCCATTTCCTCTAGGTTCTGGAAATTTGTTGGAGTATAATTTTTCATAATATTATGTTAACGATCCTTTTTATTTCAGTTTGGTCTGTTGTAATGTTCAAATTTCTTTATTTTTTTACCTAATGCTCTTTTTGTATTCCCTGATCCCATCCAGGATATCACATTATATTTAATAGTCATGCGTCCTTAAGCTCCTATTGACTGTGACAGTTTCTTAGAGTTTCCTTATTTTGATAGTTTAGAGAATTGCTGGTCAGGTATTTTTTAGAATGCCCTGTATTGGAAAATGTCTCATGTTTTTCTCATGATTTGACTGGGATTATGGGTATTTAGAAGAAAGACCACAGGGGTAAAGTGCCGTGTACATCATGTCATATCAAAGGTACATACTGTCAACAATACTTATCACTGTTGAATTTGAGCTTGATCACCTGCCTGAAGTAGTTTTTGTTACGTTTCTGCACTGTATTCATTGTCTTTTAATTGCTCATTTTGGTTATTTGTTTCACCCTTTTTTCTTTTTGTTACTTACTGGGTGACTAACCTAGGACTCTCTTACAGTTAATGTACTCTTCAATTGTGTTTAGTCTGAAGATTTTCCTGGGATGTCGGTTTTTATTTTAATAATTGTATTTTTTAACATTTTTTCTTATTTCTTCTTTTTCCATCCATCTGTTCTTTTTTTCCATTTCTTTGTTTTTATTATTTCTTCTTCATTATTATTGTCTTAGTTATCTAGTGCTGCTATAACAGAAATACCACAAGTGGATGGTTTTAACAAAGAGAAGTTTATTTCCTCACAGTAAAGTAGGCTAAAAGTCCAAATTCAGGGCATCAGCTCCAGGGGAAGGCTTTCTCTCTCTGTCGGCCTTCTTCTCATCAGTGTTCCCCTGGACTAGGAGCTTCTCCATGCAGGGACCCCGGGTTCAAAGGACACGCTCTGCTCTGGCACTGCTTTCTTGGTGGTATGTGGTCCCCGTCTCTCTGCTCACTTCTCTCTTTTATATCTCAAGAGATTGCCTCAGGATACAATCCAGTCTTGTAGATTGAGTCCTGCCTTACTAACACAACTGCCTCTCATCCTCCCTCATTAGCATCATAGAGGCAGGATTTACAGCATATAAGAAAATCACACAATACCAGGAATCATGGTCCACCAGAATTGACACACACATTTTCTGGGGGACATAATTCAATCCATGACAATTATGGAAGTTTATCCTTAATTTATCTGTTTGAGCATTCCAAAATTACTTATTTTAAAGTGATTGTCAGACACTTCTATGTAATAAGTTTCATCTGGTGTAAATGGGATTTATTTTTTGTTTTTGTCTTATATTTCTTGTCCTTTATTCACGTTTAGATCTATCATTGCTATACATTCGAAGCAGAAGGGGTTGCATCAAGATGTTAATTTACTGTGTTATCTTCATCTGATTATTTTGTAACTATATTTCTTTTCCTTTTTCTTTTGTTTGCCTCTTTCTAATGCCTTATGCTTGAATAGGGAACCAAATCTTACAATGAATATTCTGAGGTTCCAATTTTAGTGAGATTGTTAATATTGTACATCCAATGAGTGGGTTAGTTCAATTCTTGGTAACAAATCTCTGTCTGTGAACTCTTGCCGATGTAGGCATGCCTCTTGTTATAAGACATAAATCCAGGCAAATAATCAATAATACCTCTTAGTAAGACAGCTCCTGTACTTTTTGCATGGAGTAATTTCTTGGTTTGTTTTAGACCCCATTACTACATTACCCTGTTATTAAAGGAACAAAACTTCACTGTAGAGTCTAGCAGGTCTGTGACTCAACCTCACTCACAGGTTTGTATTCCTCTGGGGGTTAAGGTTTGTTGAGATGTTCATCATACCTTTTAGTTTTCTCCCTGTCTTTTTATTTAAATCTATGATTTCAGTATATTTAGAGCAGAAGAGATTGCATCAATGTATGAATGTACTCTACTAATGTCACCTGATCATTTTCTAACTGCGTTTCCTCTCCCCCTCCTTCTTTCTTTTAGGACTTGTTTTACTTCCAGGAGGTGCAATTGGCCAGTTACTGGGAGGTGTCATTATTTCCAAGTTAGAGATGTCTTGTAAAGCCATTATGAGATTTGTAATGGCTACATCTGCTATAACACTTATACTACTTGTGTTTATAGTTTTTGTACGCTGTGAAACAGTGCAGCTTGCTGGAATCACTGAAAATTATGACGGGTAAATATAATTTGGTATATTCTATTTTTACATCAGAACTCAATAGTCAATTAATACTTATTTATCAGTAACCCTTATATATTCTTACCATTATTGGAATTATTATACATATAAAAGAAATAGAAAGCATAGTCTCACATTTCAGGTTAAGGGCACAAATATTACATTGAATAAAGTTTTAAAATATTTGTTTAAAGACATCAGAGAGTTGTTTAGGCAACCAGGAACTAAAAGGCCAAAATCTTGGAGAAAGACAAATCCTGAAGAGGAGACGCAACCTTCTGCAGCTACTTTTTCCTCGAGAGTATTTGCTGATTCTGGACATCAACAAGAAGCTGACAATTTGGGCAAAGGGAAAAGGAAAAAAAAAACAGAAAAAAATTTTTTATAGACCCATGAGCCTGAAGAGACAAAAATTAGGGCTTGAGGGGCCAAGATAGAAAAGAGAAGGGAGAAGTAGATAAATGAGAAAAAATTGTCAGGTTTTCACTTAGTGTATTTTCTGAATTATGAAGCTGTATATAGAAAGAGGTTAATAAATCAAGCAGAAATCCTGTGAAAGGCAGAGAAGCATTTTCAGTAGTATTGCTATGCTCTGTGGATAAGAGTTAGAGTTTAGGATGTGTTGTGGGGAGGAGCTCTGGTGAACACACCAAGTTCTCAATTGGTAACACTGCAAAAAGCAAAGATCTAGGAGTGGGGCCTTCATAACATACTAACTTCATAACATACTCCTAGCCAGGAGTTAATTTAATGTCTTATTGGCTTAATGTGGTCATCCAACATACATGAAGAATAATGAATAAAATTTGTCAGAGCTGACAAGAAATGATAAGAGAAGCTCTTCAGGATGAAGGGAAATTATACCAAATGGAAACTTGGAAGTTGAAGGATGAAGGGAGAATAATAAAGAAAGGCCTGGTGATCTACTTTGGAAAAGTTCAGCCATTGAAAACCTCATGGAACACATTCTTATTCTGACATATATAGGGGTTGCCATGAGTTGAAATCGACTCAACAGCAAATAGTTTATAGCGAGTCAGGGATAAGAATTACACTGGAGTTCTTTTCAGAAACCATGCAAACAAGAAGAGAGTGGAGTGAAATATTTAAAGCACTGAAAGAAGAAAACCAACAACATAAAATTCTGTATCTAGTGAGATTATCTCTCAAAAGTTAGGGAGAAATAGACTTTTTCAGACAAATGAAAATTGAGGGAATTTGTCACCAGTGGACTTGCCTGGTGAGAAATGTTAAAAGAAGTTCTTCAGAGAGAAGGAAAATGTTATAGGTCAGAAACTCAGATCTACCTAAAGAAAGAAAGAGGAGAAGGAATAAATGAAGATAAAACAAAACCTTTTTCTTTTACTTAATTGATCTTCATAGATAGCTATTTTTTCAAAATAATAATAATAACAATGTATCAAGTAATTAGCTTATGGATGTGTGAAATGAATTATAGCATTATTATAAGGGACAGGAAGAAAGAATTGGAAATACTCTGTTATAAGGTACCTGCACTACATGTAAAGTGGCATGTATATTGAAAGTTGGCTTACATTAGTTATAATGCATATTAAATACTCCAGGGCAACCACTAAAAAGTTTAAAAAACAGATATAACTGATCTGCTAAGAGAGGAGAGGAAACAGAATCATAAAAAATGCTCAGTTAAAACCAGAGAAAGCAGAAAATGAGAGAAACACAAGAAAAGAAATAAAGAACAAGTAAAATGAATAGAAAACAGTAACAAATACGGTAGACATTAATCTTAGTATATCAATAATCACTTTACATGTGAATGGTCTCTAAATATACCAACTAAAAGACAAAGACTGACAGAGTGAATGAAAAAAATAACCCAACTATATTTTGTCTACAGAAATACACTTTAAAAATAAAGACACAAATAGATTAAAAGTAAAGGATTGAAGAAAGTTATACCATGCTAACACTAATAAAAAGAAAGCTGAAGTAGCTATGTTAATTTCAGACAAAGTAGACTTCAGAACAAGGAAAATGATGAGGAATAAAGAGTGACATTAAATAATGATAAAGTGGTCAACTCTCCAAGAACACATAGCAATCCTAATGTGCATGCACTTAACAACAGAACATCGAAATACGGGAGAGAAAAACTGATAAGACTGCAAGAAGAAATAGACAAATTCACTGTGATAGTTGGAGACTTCAATACCCCTCTGTTGTAATTGGCTTCATTAAAATGAAAAACTTTCGGTCTGTGAAAAATACTTCTAAGACAATTAAAGGACAAGCCATAGCTTAGGTGAAAATGTTTGTAAAACTCTCCTCCGATAAAGGACTTATATTCAAAATATACAAAGAACTCTTAAAATTTAACAATACAAAAAGAAACAGCTCAATTAAACAATGGGAAAAATATCTGAAATGACACCTCACCAAAGAAGATATTTAGATGGCAAATAAGCGTATGAAAAGATGCTCATCATCATATGTCATTAAACCAAAACCAAATCCGTTGCCATAGTCGATTAATTGCAAATTTAAACAAAAATGAGATACCACTACACACACACCTATTAGAATGACTAAAAAAAAAAAAAAAAAAAATTGGCAATGCCAAATTATGGTGAAAATGTAGAGCAACAAAAACTGTCATTTATTGCTGATGTTGTTGTTACTATTAGGTGCCATCGAGTTGGTTCCAACTCACAGAAACCCTATATACAACAGAAAGGAACACTGCCTGGTCCTGTACTATCCTCATGATCATTGTTATGCTCGAGCCTGCTGTCACAGTCACTGTGTCAGTCCATCTTGCTGAAGGTCTTCCTCTTTTTCAATGACCCTGTACTTTACCAAGCATGATGCCCTTCTCCAGGGGCTGGTCCCTCCTAATAACATGTCCAAAGTATGTGAGATGAAGTCTTGTCATCGTCGCTTCTATTATTGCTGATACAAAAAAAAAAACATTGCCGTCAAGTCGATTCTGACTCATAGCAACCCTATAGGACAGAGTAGAACTGCTCCACAGGGTTTCCAAGGAAAGCCTGTGGATTTGAACTGCTACCTTTTGGTTAGTAGCTGAATTCTTAACCACTAAGCAACCAGGTTTTCCAAAGGAATGCAAAAATGGTGTAGCCACTTTGGAAGACTGGCAGTTTCTTACAATTCTAAACAGATTCTTACCTTACCATTGAGCGGTGGTTCCCCTGGTAATTTATGCAAATGATTTGAAAACTTTTGTCCATACAAAAACCTGTACATAAATGTTTAGAACAGCTTTAGTCATAATTGCCAAAACCTGGAAGCAATCAAGATGTCTTTTAATAGGTGAATGGGTAAATGAACTGTGGTACATCCATACAATGGAGTATTATCCAGCAATAAAAAGAAATGAACTGTCAAGCCACGAAAAGACATGGAGAAACCTTAAATGCATCATTCTAAGTGAAAGAAGCCAGTCTGATAAAGCTACCTACTGTATGATTCTAACTATGTGACATTCTGGAAAAGGCAAAACAATAGAGACATTAGAAACATAATTAGTTGCCAGGGGTTCAGGGGAAGGGAGATAGAGATCAATAGGTGGAGTACAGGGTTTTTTAGTGTAGTAAAACTGTTTTGTATGATACTGCAGTGGTGATCAGATGTATAATAATGTATCAGTATTTGTTCATCAATTGTAATAAACGTACCACACTATTGCAAGATGCTAACAATAGGCAAAAGAGGAAATATATAGGAATTTCTGTATTATATGCTCAATTTTTCTGTAAATCTAAAACTGCTCTAAAAATAAAGTCTATTAACTAAAAATAAGGAATATACAGTGGAGACTGTAAGTAGAACGTAAAGCCTAAAACATTTACTATTTGACTCTTTATAGAAAAAATTTGCTGAACCTTAGTCTACACCTCCTAATTCAAAGGCAGAGATTTCAGAGTGGATAAAAAGTAAGCCCCAACTATATGCAGTTTACACAAAACCCCGTTTAAAATATAATTACTCTGGTAGTTTAAAATTATAAAGATGGAAGAAGATGTACCATGTAAAAATGAAAGAAAAGAAAGATGGAATGACATGTAAATATCAAACTTCAAAACAAAGAAAATTACAGTAATAAAAAGGGATATTATACAATGAAAACATGATTAAATTACCAAGAAGACCAAACAATCCTAAATATGTATGCAGATAATAATAGAGCTTCAAAAAACATGACGGAAAATTTGACAAATTGTAAGGAAGAGTAGGCAGATCCAGTTATATTTCAAAACTTCAACCCTGTGCTCTCAATTGAGGATAAAGAAGAAATGAGCAACACGATCAATCAACTTGACCTAATTGATATTTATGGAATGCTCCTGTCAAAAACAGCCAAATATACATTATTTTCAAATGCAAATGGAACATTCACCAAAATAGATCATATCTTGGGCCAGAAAAGCCACCTCAGCAAAATTAAAGAAATGAAATTATACAGAGTCTGTTCTTCAATCCCAGTGGAAAAACTAGAAATCAATAACATAAAGATAACAAAAAACTGGTAAACTAAACAATAGTTCTAAGTAATCCATGGGTCAAGAGGAAGTCTCAGGGAAATTTTTAAAAAAATACATTGAATGAATGAAATTAAATATTAAATATAGCAAAATTTGTGGGATTCAGCTAAAACCACTGAGAGAAATTTATAGCATTAAATGTATACACTAGAAAAGAGGAAAAGTCTTAAATCGATAAACTAAGTTTCCTCCTCAACAACCTAGAAAAAGAAGAGCAAAATAGACCTAAAACAAAGAGAAAAAAAATCAAGTAATAAAGATAACAGAAATTAATGAAATTGTAAACAGAAACACACACACATACACCCCCCAAAAACCTATTGCTGTCAAGTCAAATTCCAATTTACAGCGACCCTATAGGACAGAGTAGAACCACCCCATGGGGTTTCCAAGGCTGTAATCTTTACAGAAGCAGACTGCTGCCATCTTTCTCCAGAAAAGCGGCTGGTAGGT